CGGGAACACTTTTTGTGATGTAGTACTACAAAAGTGATAATCAAATGTAACACATTGACCCATGACCCTTATCATATAGTTACTACTACTAGTGGGAGTTTGAAAAATGTTCAAACAAGCAACATCCTGGGGCAGTTCTGATGCATATGTTCCAACTTGTTTTAGATTGTTGTAACAATACTAGTGCATCCTGAAGTGCAAGAATAAAAAATACCAAGAAGAAACAAGGAGGGTCAAGAGAGAAAGATTGCCAGAATTATTGTCTAGTAAGAGAAACAGGGGAATACCATACTGCAAGAATAAAAATATCATTCACCTCACACACATGACCAACAACAGTGCACTTTGTTTTCATTACTACTAGTAGTAGTAGATGGAGGACAAAGTGCTGGCTAGTACTACTATGCAAACCAAGACCAATGAATGGTAGTAAACAATAGTAAACAGCAATTAACAAACAAGCATTGCTCAGAGATTTTCAAGGAAAATGTGTCTACTACTACTAGGGTGGGATTACCAGAGGATAGTACTACTACTACTAGTAGCAAGAGTCAGATTAGGCCAACTGCTGAGCCAGAACACCAGAGAAAATGTGTTGACTTAATAACATCAATTTTAAAAACAGTAGGATTTGATACCCACCAAATCAACAACAAGAAGGAGGTTTTCAAGTGGTAGCACCAAGTCTACTATTCTCTTCTCTGGTGCTGCTGGTCTTGTTTCTTCTTCTCCAATCCTGGTACATCATCATAGTACTACTAGTATCCAATCACAGGATGTCCAATGCTGGTACTAGGTGAACATGGTGCTTAGTATCAGCAATGTCTTGTTAGCAAACAGTTTGGAACAAACACCACAGACAACCAGCAAAAACTTCCACCAGTAGCACCGCCAGTCTACTAATACTAAAAATTCTCAGTTCAAAAATGCCATTATCCACCAGCATGAGGAACAGCAGCACCAATGGACGTGATGAGATGACAGCAGTTAGTAGTAGTGTCAACAAGCTGTGATTTTTTACCTTATCTATTTGTGCCAATTTTTTACAATTTGTACTCTCACTATTTTATAACTAAGCTGCAGTAGTACCAGGAAGGGAGATACTACTACCAAGAGCAGGGAGGAGAAAAAAATAATGACTAGATTTTTGGGTTGCTGAGCGTTGCGAAGCAAAAGGGTCGACTCCGGGAATCGAACCCGGGACCTCTTCCACCCTAAGGAAGAATCATGCCCCTAGACCAAGTCGACGTTTCCAATTATCCCGTAAGTCACTGTATTAGATCTATGAATCCTTTACAGCTGATTCCTGCTGGTTGTTTTCTCGTCGAAATTATTTCGCCGCTTTTCGACGTCGATCCTTTTCGATTCAGATCCGCGCGAGTCAGACAGGAGAGGCTCTGAGAGAGTCACTCTCACACGTTTGCACGGAGTTCCAGTACGGTACCTGGTACGCACTCTAGGGCAACACACGTTACGTAGCGTATCTACCGTACATCCGCAGTAGACCTCGTACATAGACCCATGGATGGGAACCTCGAATGGCCAGCGGTGGCCCAACCAGCCAGCCCCCTGCGGACCAGAACGAGCAGAAATTCAAAATTAGAAGCAAGCACTATGGATTGTTTTCGATGATCGATTACGAACCGCGTGATTCCCGGTCATCCAGTGGCTCGTAGCGTGTGCCACACAGTCGTGCGTAGCAATCCGCGCAACAAGAAAAAGACAGCTACCGGTACGAGTACGAGTACTACCCGTACGAGTATCCTACCGGTAAGACGAGGCCTGAGGAGGACTACGGTACAATTCCAACACCAACCCACCCAACACCGGCACAACCAACCGCAACCACAAGACTTCCCACAGAACCAACCAACCAACCACCCCCACACAAGACCACCATGCCGAACCCACAAGCCGAAGCCATCAAAGCCGAAGGAAACGGCTTCTTCAAAGCCGGCAAGTACGCCGATGCCATCGCCAAGTACAAGGAGGCCACCTCCATCGACGACAAGGTCCCCTCGTACTGGTCCAACATGGCCGCCTGCTACGAAAAGCTCGGCGAGTACGAGAAGATGGCCGACGCCGGTCGCTCCTGCGTGAAAGCCGACAGGACCTTCGTGAAGGGATACTTCCGCCTGGCGGTCGCCTACAAGAACCTGAACCAGCTGAGCGAGTGCATCAAGACGCTCGAGAGCGGGCTCGCCGTCCAGTCCTCCAACCCGGACCTGAAGCGCATGAAGAAGGAGGTCACCGAGCTGCAGCGCGGAGAGCAGGTCGCCGCCTACTGCAACAAGGCCGACGAGCTGATGCAGAACGGAGACATTGCCGGGGCCATGAAACAGCTGGACCTGGCCTCGCGCCTGGACGCCGGGAACTCGATCGTCGAGAAAATGATGGGCAAGGTCAAGCCCAAGTGGGAGGCCATGGAGAAGAAGCGCAAGGCCAACCTCAGTCCCGTCGAGGTCTTCAAGGAGCGCGGAGATGCCTCCTACAAGAACGCCTCCTTCGAGGAGGCCATCGGGCACTACACCCAGTGCGTGGAACAGCTCCAGAACGAGGGCAAGTCCGGCAGCGACCTGGCCCTGAAGGCCTACGCCAACCGTGCGGGTGAGTTCCGTGTCGTGGGGCCGTGTCGTGGAAGACGAGAGCGCACGATTTTCGAAACCGGAGCGTTGTTTTTTGTTTTTTCCCTTTGTGTTGCCGCGGTTCGATCCAGTTCCAGTTCCAGTTCCAGTTCCATTCCGCTTCCGTTTTCTCTCGTAATTTGCTTCTCGTTCCTCGTCTAACCCTTGGTAAAATTCTGTCTGTTTCCTTTTCGTCACATTCCAATCGCACTTCAATCATTCGTCCCAAACATTTCCACAAACGCTAACGCAGCGTGCTACAAACAAATCTCCAACTTTGACGGCGTCATTTCCGATTGCACTGCTGTCCTGGAGGTCGATCCGGAAAACGTCAAGGCCCTTATCCGCCGGGCCCAGGCCTTTGAGGGAGTCGAGCGCTACCGATTCGCCCTGCAGGACGTCAAGACGGTGCTCATGATGCCCTACAACCAGGTCGGAAAGGCCAACTTTGACCTCTGCAACATGATGCAGCACCGATTGCAGAGAACCGTCAGCCAGCTCAAGAAGATGAACTCGTCGTAAAAGAATATCGTAGGAAGCGAGAATTGCCGCGGTTGGCATGGATTCCATGGCACGCGCTCCAAACAACAACAACAACTACTACTACGACAAACGAATGGGTGACCAATAATTATAGAGAAGAACGAACAAAAGAGAAAAGAAAAAAAAAAGAATGAGATTTAGCGAATTTAGTGAATGGAGGGAATGAAGAAAACGGAATGGCGAGAGCACGAGCAGCACTGCTTGGTGACGATGATATGGGCGAAGAAAACTCGGCAGCAACAATAGCAGCAAATGATATTCGGTTGCAAATTTTTGTGCCAAATGATGGAGACACAGTACATTGTACGACGGACGTTGGCGATCGAAATCGAAATCCTCGTCCGCAATGCAACGACAAGCTACGTGCGTGGTCTGCGAATGGTTTGCCCGGGTGGAATGGAACAGAATGGAACGGAATGCAACACCGGCGGCATTGCCAGTACGGGCATTTCGTATCACGGTAGACATATACATCCGGTGGAATCGCTCCGCGCGCAATGCTCCTGTGGTTCGATCACCTATGTAAAAAATATAAAAAATGGAAAAAAATACGAACAAAACCTGTGTACGGCACCAGAGTTACATTTCGTAGTCTATGCTTGTGCGGACGCTCTTGGGTGCATTAGCAGCAAAGAGTGCGGTTCGTGCAGTTCGTCCGCCTCGCACCAATGCAGCTGCAAAACCGTGCCCGGTCGTTCCCTCGACGACGACTTTTTGTTTCCTTTCGTCCCCCCCCATTCCTTGTCGACGCTTTTGCTGCCATTGGCGCACGAATGCTGCGGTTGTTGCGCCTACTGCGTTGTCTTGCGTTGCTTGGCGTTGCTATTTTTGACAGGAGACTCAGTGGTGCATCGTTCTCGTCCTGTCCCGTCCTTGTTTGGTGACCACCACCGACTGTTTCGCACCAGGCTACAAAAGTGATCGAGACGAAACGGTGCTATAACTTCTCTAGAAAAAGACTACACTACTATTGTTAAGAACAGAACGATGCAACTCGATTCGATGCAACTCGATTCGATGCAACTCGATTCAATGCTTTGCATCCTTTCGTTGGACCGTACCGCATGGTTTGCTAGTTGGGCTGCCAGCCAGCCAGACACACCGTGTTTTGCATTGTCAGCCATGCCATGCCAATCTTCCTGCACAAACACGCATGCACACACACGCGTGCCAAAATACACAACCACCACCCTACATCAGGGTCTCCACCATCGGCCGGACGCCCGCAAAGAGCTGCTGCCTGGCCGGGACAACCGTGTAGGGCCCGTCCAGGAGCGACTCGGCCAGGGCGTCCATCAGCTTGTGGGGGTCCCCGGACAGGGCGGCCGCCAGCTCCCGGCCCTGGAGCAGCCGGCCCGGTGCATGGGTGTCGGCCGGCCGCGGGGCTTCCACCGCCAGGTCCATCCCCCCCCACGGGGACCGGGCCAGCCGGTCGTAAAAGGAGCACCCGCTTCCGCCGCCCGCTTCTTGTTGTTCCCCCGGCCCACCCGACTCGTTTTCCGGCGGCAGGGAGGACGAGGACGCCCCCGGCGACGGCGGGGAGGGACCCCCCGACCCGTTCGGCGGGAGCACCAGCGGCAGCCGATCGGGAAAGCTCGTCGTCTGCTCCAGGTGCTGGGCCAGCAGGCCGGCAAAGCCCTGGTCGTAGTACCCCGTCGAGCCGCGGGTCGACCGGACCGAGACCATCCCCCGGGCGGCCCCGTTGACGATCCACAGCTCCCGCTGCTTGCGCTCCAGGGCCTCCTCCTCCCTCTTGCGCTGCTCGAGCAGCTCGGCCCGCTCCTCGGAGGCCCGCTCCCGTTCGGTCCCGCTCCCGGGGAGGGATGCCGCTTCTTCCGAGGGTTCCCCCCGGGAAGGTTCGGGGGGAGCCGGGGGCAGGGAGGGATCGGGGTGATCGTCCCCCCGCGACGGAACGTCCAGGAGGCCGCTCTTGGAGGCTTCCTCCGAGGTTCCCGAACAGACCTGGCCCATGCTGCCGTAGTGGTTGTTGTGGTTGTTGTTGTTGCTGCTCCTGCTGCTGTTGCTGTTGCTGTCGTTGCTGTCGTTGCTGCCGTCGCTATTGGGGTTTTCGGCACTCCTGCTGCGTTGTGGGGTTGTCTTGGATTCGGTTGTTTTCTATCGTTTCGGAATACCGAACTGGAATGCCGGAAAGAAGCTTTGCTGGCTTGGATTCGAATGACAACAGTACCATTACCATTACTCTGCCGTAGCAAAGATTTTTATGATGTGATGCCACTCTTCAACGATGTTGATACCGGTAGGAGGATGGGTTAGTTTTGTTGCTTACGAGTTCTCTCTCGTAGAAAAGTACGAAGAATTAGTACTATTGTTCGTTGATCTACTACCATACGGTATGTTCGGCTCGGGGTGTGTTTTTGGACTGCTGGATTTAGGAATCGGTTGAGCCGACTGATCTGACTCAAAAATCAATCGGCACAATTTAACTTCGCCGAGTGCCGTAGGACGTACCGTACTGTACTTACCGTACGGTAACAAGTACAGTGCCTCACAAGTACAAGCGTAATAGGGATTGTACGGCAAACTACTAGTCCTAGTACTAATGAACAAACGAATAGAAAAGTTTCATAGCAATAGAGGTACGAAGTAATGATTTAGTATTACAGTACCCATTGACAACAATATCCTCCCTTCAACCTCATTATCTATTCATGATTCCATCCCTACAACAAACTTGGATGCCTAGTAGTACCAGGTACTACCAAAACAAATCATGCTTGTGGTGGTTGTTTTTGTTGCAACACTTGAAAAGACAAGCAAGAGGTCAAGAAGAGCGAATCAACATGTCCCTCTTCTTCCACTACCGCATGGGCCCAGCCAAGAGATGATAGGGGATGCAAATGTGACTTGAAAAGGGTGATGCCCCGTGTCATAAGTGAGCTTAATGAACCTTTCGCTTTCTCCTCCATTCTAGAATGATCAGGGCTTTCTCTACTTTTGTGGTGAAGACTGCAGCAGTGTCTTCGGCAACCTTCTTCTTGCACTGTTCGAACCATTCCTCCTGCAACAGACACTAAAATGATCAGAAGAAACGAACGACACCGCATGTCTTTTTTGGAAGATTAGGATGGAAGCTTCGAGAGGTAGATACAAGTTGTTCCCTTCTTAGATTAGTACTCTGGATTTGTAGTAGCTAGAGATACTTTTTCAAAAATGGCGCTCGTTCCAACCTCCTTCATTTTCATAAATACATAGATTCTAACGTCACGGGCGACTATATTGTTGTTTGTGCCCAATGGAAAAACTCCGACTGCTACCTCCAGCTGCAAACGACCAGGATGCTCAGAACCATCCTTCGCATTTGAGTAGTGATCCATGTGCAAAACACAGCACAGCACAGCACTGCACAGCACCCACCCGCTTGCTCCCTCGATCCAACAGGGGACTCACTCGCTCGTTCATGCTTACTCAACCGACCTCGATCGTGCAGCGGTCGTCGATTTCGACCAGGCCCTGCAGCCCAAAGGACACCGTCGAGGTGCCGCCCCCGGATTCGCTTCCTTCCTCCCTTGCGCTCTCGAGGCCCACCACCTGGATCAGGGACGGCCGCCCCATGGCCGTTCCCTGGTAGATGTCGTAGGTGGGCTCGTACTCTCCCGCGGGAGCGGCGCTTCCGGTGGACCCGAACCGCAGGCTGGCCGCGAGGGCCGCGGCGGCGATCCCCGTGGCCGGGTCCTCGGGGTACCCCGAGGCCCGCGGAAACTGCCGGCACTCGTAGGACCGCTCGTTCTCCGGGGAGGGCGCGCGGGCGTAGACGTAGACGCCCGTCGAGCCGTCCATCACTGCGCAGGCATCCGCAAAGGACGGGGGGTCGCCGCCGCCGCTGGTTGGGAGCGGGGGAGCCCCCGCACGGTGGACGGCGTCCACCGAGCCGAGCTCGACCAGCGTCTTGGGCCTCGCCACGGAGGCGTTCCTCGCGGGGGCCACCGCGCCGCCCCCGTCCCGGGGGGACCGGGACCAGCCCAGGCGGTCGCTCCATGCCTCAAGGGCCTCCGAGGCGGGCTCGGTGAGGGGCTCCTCCGTGAAGGGAACGCTCGTCACGTGCAGGCAGCAGCGGCAGGAACCGTCGCCGCTTCGGGCGTCTCGTTCCTCCCCGCCGCTGCGGTTTCCTCCCTCCGGTGTGCTGTCGACGCGAAAGGCGTCCCCCGTCATGGAAGCTCGGAAGGTCCAGGAGGACGACGATCCGTCTGTTCCGGTTCCACCTGGTTTCCCGGCCATGGCGGTGGCACCCCCGATCGCCGCGTGGGCACAAAAACTGACCTCCTCCCCCGAGGGCATGAAAAACGCCATGGTGGGGGACGGCTGGTCGCCGGGGTCGGATCTTCCGCCGTGTGCACGGTGGCATGCGCCCGCGTCTCCGTGCGCCTTGGTGCCGACCATGACGCTCTCCCAGTCGCAGGTTTCGGCGAGTTGTTTCTGGAGGGACTTTGGCAGGGTTTCCGGAGAGGCAAAGATTGTCACGGGATTGCCACCGACCGCACCGGCGGGGAAAGCGTCGTCCGTGCCACGACTGGTGCCATTGTCGTTGTCGTTGTCGCTGTCGTTATCGTCGCTGGATCTACGGTTGGTTCCAGGGCGGCAGAACACCCGAGCGGCAATCTTTTCGACGGAACGTATCCGTTTTGTTGCCGCAGGTGCCGAGGAGGATGCGGCTCGTCCCGAAGACATGGCTCTCCGTGCCATTCCCAGCATTCCTGTTGCTGTGATCGCTGCCTCGCCTGTTTCGTGTCGTTCGATTTTGAGACGCCAAAATCTCTCTGCTTTGGTTCGGCAAAGACTTCATAGACTACCGTACCTGCCGGTATGAAAGGTAATTCAAAAAATCTTGTTGGAAGAACAGATTCGTCGATGCCTGAGGACAAAGGATGCGAAAGAACGCGTACGAGTACATACTAGCAGTAGTATGTACTACGAGTACCGTACGGTATTGGGTCATTCCCGTAAACATAGAATCTATGCTGACATAAATCGAGTCTATGACTCTACGGGAATAAGTATGTAAAGGCATAGAATCATAGATAWTGAATTATGGCGCGCTACATGTGCTTAATTTAGGAATATGGAATTTTGCTTCAAATTAACAGAAAAATAACTGAATTCTCGCCAAATATTGAGAACACATGGTGCCAGC